TTTGAAACTGATATGATTGATAGTATCATGTATGATTGAGAGTATAGGCAACTACACTGAAGATAAGACTCTACAATACACATTCTAGTTTGATAACTGCCTACTTTTGAAGTTTTATACTATATACAAAGTTCTGTTTTTATTAATACTCTTATGTACTGATATATTCAATTATACTATGTCTGATGATACAGTCAGTTCTATTGGAGATAACAAGAGACAACACAGGAACCATGGTAGAACTCTTTGTACAATGGTCTTATATATTTTTTTCATTTCATGAGTTTATAGGAATATGGTTCATTTTGTCTGGCTTTGTTTTGTTTTTCCCTCTAATATAGAAAGGATAGAAATACATGTTAAGACTCATACATGTGTAGAATCTATAAACAGTTTATAGAACTGATCTTATAACACATGATGAAATGAACAGAAATTTGAAGAAAAAGAGACACTATAGTACCCAGTGCTGATCCTGGAGTGTCATAATATGAAACCCAGCAATAGTATTATTCTTTGTTCAGAGTGATATTAGCCTGCTTGGGTTTGTTCAATCTCAACATTATTGAAGATATGGATAACTACATGTGTGTTTAAGTGTATAGGATTGACAACCATATTACTAAGTTTTTGTTGGATAGTTGAACAGAACTGTTTGCAGTCTCACTGTTTGTCTATTTAGTCTTTCTTTAAATAAAATTTAAAAAAGGAAAAAAATCCTCTACCCAGTAATAATTCCAAATCTGCAAATTATTTCATAAGAGTAAGTAGATAGAAAAATATTCCCTGCTTTTTATAAACCACAGGTTCTCTATCTTCTTCTGTGGGTTCTCTGTCTTCTTCCATGCAAATTTCTGTGGGCAGCAGAGAAGGTATTTCTGAGGAAGGCATTGTCCCTGATTGATTAGCTATTTAAGGAACAGAAACACAAACCAGTTAGTATCATGCTATGTGTCACCAGTGCTGTGGCACTGGTGCCCCTGCGCCCCAGTTTGAACAGACTACAGGGGTCCATGCAGTGACTTTAGGGTAGCACAGGAGCTTTGGGATATATCTGATCTGAGGACTCAGAAAAATGAAAACCAGTGTGATGGGTGATTTGTAAGAAGCCCCCAAATGATCTTGCTTTTCAGGATACCCTTCATTGAATGCAAGCTTCTGGGTCCTCACTGGATTCTTGTTTAAATTCTAGGTTCCTAGAGAGGAGTGGTAGTGAAATTTCTGAATGCAAGGAGCCTGAAGAATGGGCTTGGATTATCAAAAGATACATGGAAAGAGAAAGCCAAGGGGGAAATATTTAAACTAAAACCATTTTGTTCAGAACAGTCTGCATTCTACATTCATAGGAGCTGGAGACTTTATTCTTTCCTTTCGGTGGGTGAATGGCTCTTGTATTGCTGTAAATATACCGATAAGCCTGTGGGCTTGGTTAGGAGATAAATCATGGAGAAATCCAAGCCCTGCCTCAGAAACTTCCCACTGCTCAGTGAGATTTAGTAACACGGAGCATCCTATCGGAGGAGAGGAACCACTACCCAAGAAATATCTGACTTCTGGTCTGGCTTGGTACTATTCATGCACAGACCTTTATTTTAAGATGCCCTTAAGAAGTAAGAAGCTATAAAACTGTGTCCTTAAGAGCTCTTGGGAAAATAGCAGATGATGGTTTTGGGAGGCTGGAGATGTGAGACTTGAATAAGAAGGGAAAATCAAAAGGGACATGAAACAGTAGAAGCAAAGGTTGCAGAAGAGGATGGCGGGTGGGTAACTGGTCCTTCCCAGCTCTGCCTCCTCTCCACTCATCTGCCTGGCTCCTGGCCACATCTCAAAGTAGGCCACACTTCCAGGTTGTGCATCCAGTGTGCAGATTTTAAGTGACATTAGACTAACTGTGCCAATGAGGCAGGTGAGACTTAGCTAAAGTTGTGTAGTTAAGGAACCCTAGGAGCTAAGAGTGGTCTCCCTGGGAGACCATCCTGGGAGAAGAGATTTTAGGTGGGGAAATACCTTATAGGATGCAGATGCTGGAATTTAATGCTTACTATCGTCTAGATATTTACTAATATTAACTTATTTAATACCTTCTCTTAAGTTTTTCATGTACATATGAGCTAAGGGAAGTACAAAAAATCATTACTTTGCCTGAAATCACATAGCTGGTGAGGGTCGGACCAAAAATAAAAACCAGGCATCTGGCTACAACCCATGCTCTCAACCAGGATCTGTCAGCCTTGTCATGTGCACATTCTGGGCCAGGCCACTCTCTCTGGCAGAACTGTCTTAGCTTGTACTTAGCTTGTGTCTTAGCTTGAACTAGCATTGTCCCTGGTTTCTACCCAATAGATGCCAGGAGTATCCACCCTTTAGCTGTGACAATAAAAATGTGAGTAGGCATTGCTTAATGTTCCCTGGAGGCAAAAAGTGCCGTGTGGGCTCCCTGTTCCCTGTGCTGCCTTTCTGTCCAAGACATGAGATGCCCCTCCACTCAGCCTCAGAGATGCTGACCAACACCAGCGATGACTGATGTTTATACAGTTCTTTCTGGGTTATATAACCTATGGTTTGAGCATATGTCAAAGGTTCATGTGCTAGAAGCTGGGTCCCCAGGATGGTAACATTGGGAAGTACGGGCCCGTTCAGAAGTGGGGTCTCCTCAGGGATTTCTAGGCCCTTGGGAAGGATCAACATGATTCTCATAGGACCTCAGTTATGTTCCGGCTTCCTGTCTTACCTTGATGCCAGCTTCTGTGTGATTCAGCCTGGGATCTCTCACCAAAGCTGGTGCTATGCTGTTTGGATGTTCAGCCTGCAAAGCTATGGTGCTGTATGGTGTCCTGGCTTGGGTATGTCATCATAGCAAGGGCAAGCCCCTTAACAAGTTCCAGCTAGCTTCAATCACCAGTGGTGCAAGCATGACTGTCCCATTGGGTGACTTGTACCACCCAATGGCACAGACATGCCTGCACCACTGGTGATTCAGAGCTGCCCATCAGGGAGATGTATGAGTTATGGCCCCATAATGAACATCATAAAACAATGTGATTGCTTACATAATCCTTGCAGGGGGTGACCTTCATTGTAGATCTAACTATTCCTTGCTTCTACAGATGAGAAAACTGACTTCACAGATCAAAGTGTTGTCAGAAGTCATAGAGATAAGCACTCAGAATCCTCTGCTGTCCTGTAGTGTCATTCTGGCATCTGTCTTGTCCATGTGTCTGAGGTATCTGGGAGCAGAGGCAGGTGTCCCTAACACCCACCATGTGGCCGGATAGGCAGCCTACACTCAGCTCATGTTTCTTCTAAAAGTAAATTGATTAAAGCCCAGTAGCCCCAAAGGATGGCCATGCAAACAGCCAGTGTCCCTGCTCCTTCCTTTCACTTGATAGAGCAGCTGGGTCTCCATGGGTGCCAACACAGGCAGAGCCTGCCCGAGGGAAGCTTTGGGGTGATAAGGGAGTTATGTCTGAATGCCCCTGCTTTAAAATGCCTTTTAAAATTAATTCAGATGGCCAGAGAGAGGACCCAAATCGACAGTCTGCACTTCCTTTCTCAACATGAAAGACATAGAGGACTTTAGCATTAAGTCACTCCAGCCCAAAATGTTTCTAAAAATCAGTTCATCCCAAGTGAGGTTTCATAGGCAAATCCCGTTTGGCAGAATGTACATTGGAACAACACACTTTCCTACACGCTCCAGATGAAATGTCACCTGGACTAGAAGCTCTGCCTTGAGAGAGGTGCAGAGATGCTTCCAAGCCCTTGGTACAGGCTGCTACCAAATGCTTATCATATCCTGGTGGTCCTGTCCTAGATCCCAGGCAGGACATTAACCCTGGAGTGGCACAACACAAGCCCTGGTCCCACCATCCTAGACTGAGACCACCTCCTCTGCAGAGCTTGTGTCTGTATCTACAAAGCAGAAAGTTCTTGTTCGCTTATTATTGATTTACTCCCAGGGCTGTCATGATGTGAAATAATGAAGAAATGCATCACTGTGTTTTAAATTTCCCCGTTAGCACAGAGGCAAATCTGTGCCCGCTCAGGTGGATCACCGGCTGTGGCGTTTTACAGCTGGAGCCACCGTAGAGCTCCAGGTGCCCGGTGGGCAGCTCCGTATCTGTGCTTGCCCCCCCCCCCCCGCCCTGACACAGCACCACTGGGGAACTGCACAGAATGCCCTCAGGGAACATTTGTTCAGGGAAAGGTACATCCTGTCCTCTCCTGTCCCTGGCAGCCACCAACTCTGAGACTCAGAAGTAGGTGGTGGCCCTGAGGGAATAAAGGGACCATGAAGCATAGGGGAGGGAGTTTGGGAGAGCAGGTGGGGGCCGGCTCACCAGCTGTGATGGCTGAGGCTCTAAGGTCTGTGAGTCAGTTGTGCACCCCAAGCCTTTGTGATTTTATATCTCTGCTCTCTGGGAGATTCTTTTCTCTGTTAACCTGATTCCCCAGTCACTGCTTTTGGCCAGGTTAGTCCTGGTAAATGTGGGAACAGTTACTGCTGCTTTATCTTGTCCGTGCTCTGACCTATTCAGCAAGCACTTGGGCCTCAGTGGGTTTTTTTTGTTTGTTTGTTTTTTTGAGACAAGATTTGCTCTGTGGTTCAGGCTGAACTTGAACTCACCATGTAACCCAGCTTGGCCTCAAACTCAAGGCAATCCTCCTGCCTCAGCCTCTTGAGTGCTAGGATTACAAGTGTGCCTGGTGTCTGATTATACCTGGTGCCATTTTTTTTTTAAAAGCTTACACCGCACATGTTCATGTCTGTCTGCAGCATTCTGTGGGGGTGAGAACAGGCTGGGATGTGGGCTGCTAAGTCTGTTTCAGAAGATGAGATAAAAAATGGGCTTTGTATGAGCTGGAATGTTGACTGCTGTTTTCCTAATTCCACATAGACTGCTGTTTTCTGTCAACAGAAGTGAGAGGTTGTACTTTTATGATTTGCCTAACGCTACTAACTTTTACGATCTTAAGTTCTCTTTCTTGTGGTTTCTTAGGGGCAGTGGAGAAAGCCTTCCCCAGAGAGAATGCTCAAAGGTGTTTGTGCTCACACACACACACACACATAGAGACCCATGTCAGTCGACCATCTGTGTCCAGCCAGCAGGGCATCCACTCTCCACCCAGAAAGGAGTCACCTAGGTTTGGTAAGTGACTTTCATGGGTCCTGACTCACTCCTGAGTGCTGAGATCAGGTCAGCTTGATCTCTTAGACCCTCTGATCTTTCCAGACTGAGATCCCTCGGCCCCAGCCCATACTGCTGTGCTGGCTGCTGTCTTATTAGCTGTTCTGGGTTCTACCCTATTTCTTGGAGTGTTTTTTTAACCCATAGTTTGTGGTTCATTGGTGTTAAATTCACTTAGAGGCTGGCTGCTGTGTTTTTATTTTTATTTTTTAGAAAATAGAAATGGAACATAGTGAATCAGAAGTGTAAATACTTGTGCTCATCAAATATAGCAAGAACAGGCATTATCCTATGACATCTTTGTTTCTGGTGATGTGCACATGCACCCCAATGCACATGTAGCTAATTTTACTGACTCCCGACATATAAGGTATTTCCAGGTATGGGTCTCAATATGAATGAATTATAAAAGTCAGAGTGGTACCAGGAAGACAATGCAAAAGTCATCCTTACTGGGCGAGTCACTGTCCACCACTGGGGTCCCCATCCGGGATGCAGAACAGGAAGAGACTGGAAAAGAAAAATTGTCTTCCATGAAACCAGTCCCTTGCAAAATGACTGGGGACCACTGCATACCAGGCAGTGTTCCCTGGCCCACTGTTGTATACAGAGCTTCTATCCTGACAGCCTGTGGTGGGTGCAGGGCTAGAGGTTCAGAGGCACAGGCACAGTTCTGATGGGGTACAGCTAAACCCCAGGAGGAAGTGCCTAGTGCTTCCTTCAGGATGTGGGTGTGCCAGGTCTTTTCAGAATTGGAGCCTTAGGTACGGAGGACTACCTGGGCCACTCTCCATGAAAGAAGAGCATTCATCTCCTTGGCTCAACCTGGCCCTATTTCCATGAATCAATATGTACAGAGCTGGCTAGGACTTCCTTATCCCTTCCACCGGCTTGCAGCAATGTAAATCAGTCTAGTCAAGGTACTGATGTGTAGTCTCTGAAACAAGGTGACAGGTAGTGTTGACCTACCCCATAGCTCCCCAAAAATCATGTGTGAGCTGGGTGGGAGGGAGCTGAGTGGTTTGGTCCCAGCCCATACTCTACACTGTCGGCTGGGCCAAACCTGGAGATAAGAGGCTATGACTTCCCAGGGCCTAAAAAGATTACGCATCAGAGCTGAAACACCAACCCCAAAACATTAGATACTACCTCAAATTGTGCTATGCAGATTACTCTTCCTGCATACTCTTCTCTCTGCATATTGCAGAGGTGATTTCAGGCCACCTATCTAGCTCAGCTCACAACATTCTCATCCCTTCTTTATGAATTAATACAACCCAGCCTCAGCCCTGGGTCTAGGCCTTTGTTCCAGATAGGCATCACCCTAACTGGACTTAGGACCCCTTTGGATCCCACAACTACAAATATGCCTCCGTGTCTTTATTCTCATCACAATTGCACCGAAAGTGGTAGATTGCAATGAACTCACTAGAATTCCAATAACTTTTCCATGGGATTACAAATATCAACTTGTCAGAAGGTGATAAGGACAGGGCCGTCAATGCTTTGGTACATTTTTTATACAATAGCGAAAGAGACTTCTGGGGAGCAAGAGGAGAAAATAAATATACATTTAGAAAAGCTGCTTGGTGGACTGTTCTTCCTGGGGGCTGCAGAGGGCAGAAACTCCAGAGAGGCTCCAGGAAGGGAACAGGACATAGGAGGAGAGTGGACAGCTGACTGAACTTGCTCACAGCTGCATCCTTAGAGCAAGGTTAGACTCGGGAGCTCGGTGAATCTTAGCTATTAACAAAACACATTTAACTTACCACCTGGGAGAGGTACTGGTGCCCCAGAAGATCATCAGAAAACCTATTAGACAAGCAAAGCTGCTAGCATCACTATGCTCAAGGAGAACCAACAGCACCTTGGCCATCTTATAGTGTCCCAGAGGGAGGCCAGGGAAGGGGTTTGTAGGGTTTTGTCATTTGGGTCAAGTGGTTTCATGATGGTTGTGGCAGTGCCTTCTTTGGATGGGTGAGTCTTGCCAGGCAGACTGGCTAATAAGCTGTTTCTCAGCGAACAATCTATTGTCTTAGCAGGAGAACTGCTTCTCTGTTAAGCAAGCTCTTTGATCGGACAAAGCCATTTGCAGGAGTTGGTACGAGAGTCAGTTTTAGAGATCACACCCTTGTTTTCCTGGTCTACAATTTTCTGGAGCAATTACCTAAACATGTTGAATTAGGAACCGAAGGGTTTATGTACCTTGGCCATTGACAACTTGCTAAAGTGGGACTTCTAGACATAAAATTCCTCAGATTTGCTTGAAAGTTAATTTTCATTTTGTGCAGTGTTTTTGCTTGCATCACTAAAGATACCACTAGAACAATTGGGCAGAGGAAAATGTGAAAGAAAATACTTGCTGTTGGAATGAGTTGTTGAGTATTTTGCTTTTGAAAGTTTCTGACAATTTCCAAAGTAAAGTCCATATAAAAAATTCGAAAGTTAAAAAGTAAGTAGTAGTATTTATATTGCATGTAGTATTCTGCAGATTATTTTTATTAATGTATCTTGAGAATCATATCTCAATATATTATAAATTACATGATTATAAGTTGTAAAATATATAAACTGTATATAACTATATGCATATTTATATGTAAATATAACAGGCAGGACTTCAGATGACATCAGTACAAAACTTTAGCCTTATCTCCTGCCATTCCTTAATCTAATCACAGAAGATCATCCTTCTCTGGGTTGGGTAAAAATTTGCTGTTCTTAGGCAGTTGACATTTCTATGGTGACTTTTGGTGGTAAATCCAACTTTAACTCTGAAACAGTGATTGGGAGGTGTTCAGTTACAAATAAATTATTCCACATGGAAACTGGTGCTTTCCACCAAAGTGGGTGGTCATGGTTCATACGGCTTTTGTTTTACAGGAACATGTCTCCCTGACCTCCTCTGTGATTCCTACAGTGTTTTCTCTTCATTTTAACCTAGAATTTAAGTGAGGCATAAGGCAATTGGCTCAATTGTTATTTGCTGTTTATTTTCCCTCTGCTAAATTCATTATGTACACATTATCATACACATGTATGGATCTTCCTGAGATCCATCTTGAGTGCTTTATGGAAAGTGCATATCTAGTGGGAAGCTGCAGGGTGAGAATTAGCTCATAGAATTCGGGACTGGAACCAGGTGGGCACGGTGTGAACCTGGGCTCTGGGCCTTAAGTTGTCATCCTGAGTATGTGATCGAACCAATATATACCTCAGTTTCCTCACTTGTGAGCTAGCAATAATACTTTAGAAAGCTGTAAGCATGAGGAAGGGAGGGAAGGAGAGAGAAAGAAAGCAAGAGAGAGAGAGAGAGAGAGAGAGAGAGAGAGAAAATGAAAAGAGACAAAAAATGTTATTTCCCTGGCTAATTCCTGGAGCAGTATGAACACTCAAGGAAATAATGGTAATTATATTTGTATAAGCCAAGGGTCACTATTCTTGTAGGAAATGCATTATTACTTGCATTTGAAACCACAGATGATACAAATAAAATCCATTTTAATTAGGTATTTTAATATTCAAGTTGATCAGGTAGCTGGTAACTTAATGAGTATTTTCTTTGTCGTGGCTGTGTCCTGTAGGTAAGAGTGAAATAATTCAGCATCCCTATTCTCTCAGAATTCCCTATTTGGTTAGAATAAACAGACATATGCAAAAGACAATTATAGACCATTGGGAATATAATATAAATGAAAAGGTAAGTATTATGAGTCAGGAAGTATCTTATGAAAACACTGGCAGGAGTGATCCATTTGCCTTCAGCTATGTATCACTCCCCTTATAATTGTATCAGGTTAAACAATCATCAGTTGGGTCCATTAGAAAGTATATCATGCTCGTGAAATGCTCAAAGTAGTTTAAACTGTGGAGTTTGTTTTCCCAAAGTCAGCTCAGGACAGATGAGTGCAGATTTAATTGTCAAGAAGATGATTCATGTCAAGGACCCAGCTCTGTTCCTTCCCTGTTCAGGCAACTTCAGGCTTGTGCTCTACACTTCTAATCCTGTCACTGGCTTGACGCACTCTTAGCCACATATAAGATGGAATCAGCTGTGGGCTGGTTCCTGAGCCTGCTGATGATTGTCACCTCTTCTTCAGGGGTCTCCAGAGGGAAACATCCTCATACCGGATTCTAAGATGTCAGCAATCAGTGGAGGGTTCTTGCTCAGTTTGTGTAAAAATCATGAATTGGAAAACTATAGCTTTTTAGTGTCAGCAGATTTAGGCTTTGAATGCTGGATGATGTCACTATGGTTTCGCTTCTTGGAACCAGCAGCTACTGACAGGTTTCAGGGCGTCTTTTGGCCACCAGAGATGGGTGGCTGCTGGTTATTCTTTGTTTCTGTGTTGTTCCCTGCTGCTAGGCACCTTCAGTGTCATTACCCCTGGCTGCAAACAGCTCTCAGCACAGTAGCTGTGTTTGGTGTTTCCAACTCTGCTTGCTGTACTTGAGATGAAGATCATGTGTAGGCAGGAACACTCCATCGAGAAGGGGCTTCAGCTCGACTTAGACAGCAGTGTAGGTGTAGGCTCAACCTGCTAAGCGTGTGTGGAGGTTGCTTATAAGGAAAATAGCAGCTCACCCACAGGTCATGTCAGACTGACCGAGTGGTTGTGGGAGCAATGGCCCCTGCGTGGACCTGAATGAGGGGGGCTGCAGGATGGAGCTGTCCTATGTGATAAGTCCGTAACTGTAGCCTGCTGCAGTAGAAGACCTTCTGTAAGTCATGGGGTCCCTGCTGCTGCCAAACTGGCTTCAGGCATTTTGGGGAGCAACAGAATCTTGGGGAGCATCAGGCCTTTGTCTTATATCTCAGTCCTTCCTCTTTGTCTACAGGAAATAAGAATAATGTTCATCTCTAACCTCCAATATCTCTACATCCTAATCCCTAAAATCTATGAATGTTACTTTTTATGGCAAAAAAAGGACTTTGCAGATGTGATTAATTTAGGGATTTT